GTACGCGATAGATGTGTCAAGCTTGGAAGAGTTGCCCGTGGAGGAAGACGAAGAGATCGACGACGAGCCAGAGGACGGCACCCGATGTGCATGACCAGTTGTTTTCGTGGTGCCTTCTTTCCGCTTGCTCACGGCTGGCCGTTGTGACGCCTCCTTGTCGTTTCACCCGTTTCGGTTTTTGCTATTTTGTGTTCGCCTCGTTGCATGCGATCGAGAGGTTCGGCCCTGCGCAGAGGGGCAGGGGGAGAGGGGAAGGTTTTCAAGGAACGCCCCTGCTTCTAAGAAACCTCCCCCCCCTCCCCCTCCCCGCCCCTGCGCGTGGCCGACCCTCTTCGGGGATATGTTTTTCCCTACCTAGGCTCTGCCTAGAAGGGTTCTTACTTTAGAGCGTAAAGGGGCGGGCAGTGCCACCCGCCCCGGGCGGTTCCCCCAGCATCCGCCCCGCGGTTCCCCCAGCTACGTCCCCGTAGCTTAGCGTTGCGTATCTAGCTTATTTCATCTGAGCTTAGCTTAGCTACATCTTAGCTCAGGTGTATCTTAGCTTAGCCTACCTTCATCTTAGCTTCGCCGAGCTTTCTCATAGCAGAGCACAGCATAGCATAGCACAGCGTAGCATAGCATAGCGCAGCACAGCATATCATAGCAGAGCCCAGCATAGCATAGCATAGCGCAACATAGCATAGCGCAGCATAGCATAGCATAGCATAGCATAGCGCAGCACAGCACAGCACAGCATAGCACAGCGCAGCAGAGCATAGCAAAGCATAGCATAGCATAGCATAGCGCAGCTTAGCATAGCATAGCATAGCATAGCTTAGCACAGTACAGCGTATCATGCCATATCATAGCTTAGTCTAGCATATCATAGCATATCATATAGCGCAGCATAGCATATCATATCATAGCATAGCATAGCAACTCATAACATAGCGCAGCATAGCATGGCATATCATAGCATAGCATAGAATAGCATAGCCTAGGAACTACTGATGCTTTCCTGGGGGCTCCAACTTCTAGGTAGGGTCGCACTGGGGTAATTCATCTTGAGTCGATTATTGTTGTAGGTTCCCGGCGCTCTCTGAAGAGCCCTTGGACGCCCAACATAGCGAGACATTTTCCGACACGATTGCTGCACGACGCGAGGAGGTCTGAGGCCACAGATTGGAAACAAAAACACATCGACGACCAACGACGACGACGACGACCAACGACGACGACGACGACGACGACGACGACGACGACGACGACGACGACGACGACGACGCCTCGACGGGTGGAGCGTTGACGGGTGCTCCCCGCGAAGCATCTCAGCATGGCCGCCACCCGCCGCCCCGCACTGCTGGCCCGCGAGGCGCGGCGCCCGCAGTGGCCGGGCCCCGCCCACCGGGGGGCTGGGGCGCGGGTGGCCGGCACGCGCCCTCAAGGTGCATCTGCGACTGTCCTCCTCCTCCTGCTCCTCCTCTTGCTCCTCCTCCTCCTCCTCCTAATCCTCCTCCTCCTCCTCCTCCTCCTCCTCCTCCTAATCCTCCTCCTCCTCCTCCTCCTCCTCCTCCTCCTCCTCCGTGGCCCCATCGAAGGAGCCATAGGGAGCCCCATAGAAGGAGCCCCATAGGAGCCCCATAGAAGGAGCCACCTGGATGGCCCCACAGGGAGCCCCATAGAAGGCCCCACAGATCCTCCTCCGTGGCCCCACAGGGAGCCCCAAGAAGGCCCCGGTGGCAGTGTTCACATGCGGTTCCCCGCCCACTCTGGGCACACCCCGCGCACGCTCCGCGGCCCCATAGGGAGCTCCACCGATCGCCCCGGTTGCAATTTCCACACTGCCCCACAGGGACCTCCATTGGAGGCCCCAGCGGCATGGTTCGCATGCGGTTCCCCCCCCATTTCGGCACACCCCTCACACGCTTCGTGGCCCCATAGGGAGTTCCACCGAAGGCCCCAGTGGAAGGGTTCGCCGGCCATTCAGGCACGCCTCTCAGACGTTTCGTTGCCCCAAGGAGAGCTCCACCGAAGGCCCCAGTGGCCGGGTTCGCATGCGGTTCCCCGCATGTTTCGGCACACGCACACACATACCGCACGGTTCATGGCCCGTAGGGAGTTCCGCTGAAAGCGGCATTCACAAGTGCGGCACTCGCACTTGCATATGGATGGGTCCTTCGCCAGGATAGTGTGGTCCTGCTCCATCTCATTTTCCTAGGCTCGCCACTTCGGCGAGCCTGCCTACCGCGGCGCGTGCGCGGCCGGGCCAGCCTGGGACCATGCCACCTGCAGAGTATGGGCGCTCACCTATAGCACAGATCGAAATCTCCTCCCCCCTCCCTCCTCCTTCCCCATCCTTCTGCTCCTCCTCCTCCTCCTCCTTCTCCTCCTCCTTCTTTTTCTCCTCCTCCTCCCTCCCTCCTCCCTCCCTGCTTCCCCATCCTTCCTCCCCCTCTGCCCTCCTCACCCCTCCCTCCTCCTCCCTCACCCCCTCCCCCTCTCCGTCCTCCCCCTCCACAATTACTCAATATGAATACTACTCTCCCTCTTCCCCCGATGGCGGCCTGAAAGTAGCCGACCCCCCCCCCGCGTACTGTTTTTTTACACACAGGATTCCCGGGAGTTGGGTTTTCGCTTGCGTTTTTTTTCAAAATGCTGCTCTCGCTGAGGCGCCGGCCTCATTTCTGCTCCCGAATCGTTCCGAATCGTGCTCCCGCTGCAGCGTGGGCCTCATTTTCGGATCGGTGTTTGGCCTCCGTCGTTCAGGATGGCGTTCTCGCCCCAGCGCGGGCCTCTTTCTCGCGCGCCCATCCGCCCGCCACCACCGCGCCGCACCACCACCACCAACACCACCACCACCACCACCACCACCACCACCCACCACCCACCACCCACCACCACCACCACCACCACCACCACACCACCACCACCACCACCACCACCACACACCACCACCACCCACCACCACCACAACCACCAACCACCACACCACGCACACGCACGCACGCACGCGCACCACCACCCACTACGCACGCGCGCGCGGAGCCACAGGTCCGCTACGACACGCGTCCGCGGATAGAGAAAATCAGCGCCATGGTAAGGGATGGGAGGGAGGGGTAGGACGTCAGATATGACGCGAGCGCACCTAACTTGCCTCTCCCCCCCCTCTTCCCCTCCCAGCCTGCCCCCCCTCCGAAAAACAGTTGAAAATCCCAGTCCCGTTCCGTCGTCCGCCGAGCCCGGGCCGCCGAGCGGACGACGCCCCCGAGCCGGGGCACCCCCACCCCACTCCAAGGCACGACGCCGAGGGGCCCAGGGGCCCCGTGGGGCCCAGGACCGGCACGAAAGGTGCACGTGTTTCTTCGCCCCCCCCCCATGACAGTCAACACGGAGGTGGATAGACCTCCTATCCTGACACGTCGAGTAAGGAGCTGGCCGTTTTCGGTTCGCGAGCGGGCGTCGCGGCCGTCAGTTTTTGCGGGTCCAGGTCCGTCGGTTTCGGTCCCAGGCCGTTTTCACTACTAAAGGGAGGTTTGTCCACCGCCGATGAACATGGAGAGCAAGGATGCGCGACTTTCCAAGGTCACCCTTGCGGCCTTCCCTCGGCCCGCACTCGGCCTTTTTCGCTGGCTGCGCCCCGCTCGAAGAGTGTTGACACGGCCTTCCAAGGGCTGCGCACCCGCACCGTACACTGGTATTTTACGACGCGCTGGTTGTAGTCGCCCCCCCGTGAAGCGGAGCTCGATCCTGCCTCCTCCCCTTACAGGACGCGCGCCAGTAATTATAGAAGAAGCAGCGGTGTGTCATGCGGTTGTCTCCTTCGGGGCTCAAGCGACGGGGGTCAGTCGGAGCGCCGGACTTTGCAGGATCGTGCAGGGCCAGGGTTGCATTGACCCAGGTTTGGGTGCAGGATCCTCCAGGATCCTGCAGACTCTTGCAGGATCCTGCGAGGCATGACTGACCGGGGTCTGGATAGACCCGGGTCAGTAGATCCCCGATTCCTCTCCTTCTACTTCTGGGGCCGCGTGGTTCCGCTGGGCATGCTGCCTGCGGTCTGCACGAGGCTGATATGCAGTCGCGAGCCGCCCCCTCCCTTCGTGGAGAAGCCTTCTCCCTGGAACGTGAAGAGGCCTGCGGTGTGGCGGCGAGAGCACGCTTCGTGGCCTTGGCTTTGCAGTGGCCCGTGGCACCGGTCTGCCCTCTGTTGGAGACCCTGCGCAAACGACGTCTCTGCCATGAGCTGTTCCCGCCGTCGCGGACGCCGGACCCCGGGCGGCTGGAGAAAGCTTACGCCCCAGCGTGGCGCCGCCATCGCATTCATTCTGCAGCCGCCTGGGGGGCAGGCCACCCCCGGCGGCGGACAGGCATGCTTCATGCCGTGCCTTGCCCGCTGGTGCCCGCCTTGACGACGCCGCTGGGCGCGGACGGGCACCACCGCCCACGGACAAAAGGGAGGATGATGAGGAGGAGGAGGAGGAGAAGGAGGGGCAGGCGGAGGAGGAGGAGGAGGAGGAGGAAGAGGAGGAGGAGGAGGTGGAGGAGGAGGGAAAGGAGGAGGAGGATGGGGAGGGGGAGGAGGAGGAGGGGGAGGTGAAGGAAGAGGAGGAGGAGGAAGAGGAGGAGGAGGAGAAGGAGGAGGAGGAGGAGGAGGAGGAGGAGTAGGAGGAGGAGGAGGAGGATTAGGAGGAGGAGGAGGAGGAGGAGGAGGAGGACGAGGGAGGAGGAGGAGGAGGAGGAGGCCCACCCCCAAAGGACGACGCCGAGGACGAGGACTGGGAGCCGCCGCGCCCCGCGCCGCGTCCTCCTCCTGCCCGGCATGGCTCCCGGGCCCCGCCGGGAGGGCGCGGTGGCCAGGCCGTGCGTCCTGCAGCCAGGGCGCGGAGAGAAGGAACGCCTCGGGTGCCAGGAGAGAACCTACTAAAAAAACACGTGGCTATCGAACACGTTGGCCACCAACGTGGGAGCGAAGAACGCGTGGCAGGCCGAGGAGCGTCGCACGAGACATCGCCGAGGGCGCACGCGCCTGCACGGAAGCCCGCGCCTGACCTCGCCGATGCCTGCGGAGGAGAGATCTAACAAGTTTCCCTCATTGCGGGCAAGACTTGTGTCCAGATCCAGTGCAGCTTGGAGTTTCGGGCTCCCTTCCCTAGAAACCCGAGGCGCACCGGTATGGGTGAAGATGTGGCCCCTGGAGGCTCGATGTTTATCCATATCCAGTGCGCCTCGGCCTTGCAGCGTCCCTTCAAAGAAATACCAAGTCGCACTGGATCTGAATATTAAGATTGCCCGCACAGGAGGGGCTTCGGTTTGCGAGCCGCTCCTGGAGGCAAGGGAGGAAGAACCACCTGGCAACGATCATCGGCGTTTGCTGGACGGCCCTGGGCGTTTACGGAGCAGTCCTGCCCTGTTCGCTTCCGTCTTTGGGTGCGTTCACGAAACGGTTTCGCGTGTCAGGGTGTTGAGTTCGAGGGTGGATTTTCTGCCCTCGATTGAACCTGGGTCGGGGAACCTCTTCGTGGCCGAGGCGTGCCGTCGATCTGAAACTGCCCCTGCCTTCCTTGTGCAGCGCGCCTTCCCTGATGGTAGCGCGCGGACTGCAGGCTCGGGCCCCGGGGGGGAAGCGAGAGGGAGCAGGCCTTCTCAGAGGGGCAACCATAAGGGGGGGGGATGGGCATGGGGGGAATGCATCGACCACCAATCGCCCGTCGATCGCCGATTTGGGTCTCATCGCCTCGCCCCGCCCAGGAAGGTGCGGATTCGCCAGCGGGGGCCGTTCGCCGATCTGTCGACGATGCATATTAGTGCCGAGTCCAAGTCGATGCGTCCCCCCCCGGGTGCCAGCCGCCCCCCATCGTTGCCCCTCATTCTCAGAGGGTGGCGGGGCTTCTCAGAAGCCCTCCGGCCTTCCGAGAAGTTGTTTGGGTCTCCGGGGGAGGCTTATGGAGCTTGTCAGAAGGCCCGAGGTCTTTCGAGCCATCAGAGAAGGCCTGCCCCTTTTCACTCCCCCCACTCCTCCAGGGCTCGCCGCCAATAGGCCTCCCGGATGGTTCCCGAGTAGATCTCAGGCCTTAAACGTATTGACCAATTCCAAACGGAGGTTTTCTTTTTTGGGGGGGATTTTCAGCCTCTGGGGGCCCTTGCCGAGACTTGGGGCCCTTACAAAACGGCTGCATGGGGATGTAAACTTTGTCTTGGGGGATGGGTCGGGAGTTCCAGGGACTGCGTATCCATAACATCAAAACATCGGATCTTTGGGATGGGTTCGGAGGACCGCGCCGCATCGCCAATGCAGAGAGATGCTGGCGGGGGGGTCCCTCATCAGAACACAGAAACCCTACCAGACAGCCCTTGGCATTCTTCAGCGCCTCAATGTGCACAAGGCATGGTGGCGGATTTAATCTCGTCAGTTTTAGGACCGTCGTCGTTCGTCTTCTTGGAAGCACTTTGTTCTGCAGACTGTGCGACCAATGGTGCGTTGGGTGTTGTGCAGGACAAAGTCAGGGACGGCAAGTTCAATAGGCGGTGCTCGGAGGAGGAGGAGGAGGACGGCGACGACGAAGAACTAGCCCACTTCTTCGCCTTTCCCCGCCTTCTACTTCCCTCCTCGCCCTCCGCTCATGTTGTTCACATTGTGCCTCCATTGACTCCTCTCTTTCCTCGCCCTCCTCTCATATCGGCCATAGACCGCTCCCCATTGACATTGTGCGAGCTTCAACTCGTTGCGTGTGGGCTACCTGTTTGCCACGTAGCTCCTTGGTGCGGGCTTTTGTGCGCGCGTCAGGATGCGCCTCAGTCGGCGTTGCCGGCAGCCGCGGCCACGCCAGGGGCGGACTCTACCGACCGAAGTGAGGGCCTTATTGAGACGGTCCGCATTGACTCCGATCGATCGGTGCATCATTTCGAGAGATCGCACCCGATCTGATGGATGGGCCAGACGATGATTTCTGCCCATCTTGCCTCGGGTAGCATGCGTCCGCCTTTGACGGGTATATCAGTGTATACATCGATATCAGTAATTTACCGTCTCGGCTTGCCAGGGTTGTTTAGCTTCTTCATAATTTGAAGCCTGGGATGCGATTCTGGTCTTTCTGTTACGCGGTGCAAATCATATTTTGGTGCACTGTCAGTTGTGCAGGGTCGAAGTTATGTGATGCATGCATTCGGCGTGTGAAGTTGCGAGGTGTTGAGTGTCGTTTAAACAAGCGGTGTGCAGTCGATTCTGTGGATAATCCCGAGGTGGACCAGGAAAAGGAAAAGGAGGAGGAATCCTGGAGGCTTCTGGTACGCTTCGGCTATTTCCTGATCTCCAGAGAAGGAGGAGGAGGAGGAGGAGGAGGAGGAGGAGGAGGAGGAGGACGACGAGGCAGTGGAGGTGGAGGTGGAGATTGGAGGAGGAGTCAAAAGTCCTGATGGGAAGGTAGTAGGAGGAAGCCGAAGGAGGCGTGCGAGGAGGTGGAGGACGAGCAAGGGACGAGTAGGTGGTCCGGGGAATTTCAAGAGTCTCCCGGCTCGCACTGCGTCCCGCTCCCTCCTGCCCGCCCTGCCAATTCGTGAGTAGCACCCGAGCCGCAGCGTGTCTAATGGGAAAAACAACAGACCCCATGTGCGCAATGCTGGGGCGGGGTGCGCCGGGCGTGCGCGTGCCAGGCGCGCCGCGCGCGCCAGGTCCTCCAGGCACCCCTGTGGCCCAAGCGTACTGGGCACCCCTGGTGTGCCAGATGCCACGCGTAGTCCACGTGCGACATGTGTGCCGCAGGCTGCAGCCGCGCCAGGCATGCCACGTTCGGGACACGCGCAGGGTGTGCCAGGTGCGCCTGCGCTCGTGGCAGCACGCATCGGGCAGCGCGTTGGCCCCCACGCCCTGGTCGAAGACCAGTTCGCAATCGCGGCGGGGTGGCCATTATATCGCCGGGTTGGCTTGCACAAAGCAGGCAATATGCCAGCACCCCTCAAAACAATAATGCACAGTGATCGCAGGGTGTCCGCGCATGATCCAGATTTTGCCTCGAAGTGCATGTTGTATTGTTTTTTTTTTAACAGGGATGCTTGCCCTGCGCAAAGCGGACAACATGCGGGCACCCCCGCCGTCCCTGTCAAAAGAGCAATACAAAGTCCCCGCGGCCCCCCCGACCATGAGCCAAGATTCTGCCATAAGTGCACTTCATTTTGTTTTTGTCACAGGGACGGTGGTGGGGGGCCCTCATTGGTCCTGGTTGGCTGCCTGCCGCCTGGGGAAAGGTTTTTTTATATATATATATATATATATATTACTAAGGAACAGTGACGCAGTGATGGAGGAGGACGACGCGGACGAGGAGGAGAAGGAAGGAGGAGGAGGAGGAGGAGGAGGAGGAGGGAGGAGGAGGAGGAGGAGGAGGAGGAGGAGGAGGAGGAGAGAGAGGAGGGAGGAGGAGGAGGAGGAGGAGGAGGAGGAGGGAGGAGGTCAGGAGGAGGAGGTCGGGAGGCATGAGGGAGGCAGCAGGGGCCCTGCGTCCATATGCCATGCCCGTCGGTCGCTGGAACGAGGTATTCTCGGTTTTCGGGATCCCAATTGACTTTTCGGCACCTTCAGGCTTCAATGATCGAGAAGGTTCCCCTCTCTCTTCCTCTTTAGGGGACGGGCGGAAACCCAATCTTCTTCCACCGCCTTCCTACTTCATATTTCTACCCACTTCTTCGGACCGCTGGGTACGCATTACAACAGCTGGTTTGAGCATTGCCTAGAGTCAGGAGTTTTGACCCCCGAGCGCCCTGACCATACCTGGCCTTATCTTGCCTTATCTTGTCTTGGTTTGCCTTGCCTTACCTGGCCTCACCTTGTCTTGCCTTATCTTACCTTACCTTGCCTTACCTTGCCCTGACCTCCTCCTTTGACGGACCTGCCCGGCCTTTCACGCTGCCGCGGCTGGGCGCGGGCCAGAACGCGTGTCAGGGCGTTGCCCTGAAGTGGTCCGGATGCCAGTTGTGAGCGTACGTTTGGCACGGGGAGGCGGTGAAGAGTGCACAGGCCGCAGCCAAACATCCGTGCCACACCATCCGCTCACAACATGTTTGCATGCATCGTCAACTCGCAACTCGACTCACGGGGACTACACACCATCAACTCGCAGTGGTTTGGCCGCAGCCACAGGCTCGAGACGCACCCGAGACAGATAGGCCGCGACGCAACGGACAGAGCCGAGCCGGAGAGTGGCTCATGGAGCCATCATCGTCTTCTGCCACCGCAGCCGCTGCTGCCGAGGAGGCTGTCCCTCGCCTCTGCCGGGGCCAGAGCGTGCTCAGGAAGGTCACCAACCCGTTCGAGAATGAGGCCCCGTGGACAGCGTACGAGTGCGCCAAGGCAGTGCTGGTGGGCATCACCCTGCTCCCCGTGCGCATCGCCGTGTGCCTGGCGGCGCACTGTGCCCAGGCGGGCGTGGCAAAGCTTGCCAGCGCGGGCATGCCCCTGCAGAACGACAGGGGCTGCTTTCGCCACCAGGAGCCGCTCGGCTTGGCGCGCCGTCTGGTCCGAGCGCCTCTGCGGGTCACGAACTCGATGTTCCTCTGGAGCCTCGGCTTCTGGCGCATCGACGTAGACGATCGACGCAGGGACAAGAAGTCTCTGGCGAATATCGTTGTTGCGGCCCCGCACAGGAATCTGATGGACCCATTTATCATGGCCGCTGTGTTTCCTCCATGGATTGCGGGTGTCGGCAAGGCGGATTTGTTGAACATACCCTTGCTCTGCCACACAGGCGTGGCCTGCGAGGGCATATTCGTGGACCGCAAGAATCCAGACAGTCGGCAGGCGTGCAAGGATGCAATTGCCCACCGCGCCAAGCCCTCTTGGACTGGCTTGCCACTTCTCATCTTTCCCGAGGGCACCACCACGAACGGCAGGGCCTTCATCCAGTTCAAGCTCGGCCCGTTCAGTCCGGGACAACCTGTGCAGCCGGTGTTGTTGAAGTACAGGATCGCTCATTTTGATTTCTCTTGGGTCGGCAAAAACTCGAACATGGGGATGTGCATTTTGCGCATGATGTTGCAATTCGCAAATTTCTGCACCGTCACCATACTCGACACGTACGTGCCGTCCGAGGAAGAGGTCCGGGACCCCATCCTCTTCGCGAACAATGTGCGGGCCTTGATGGCCGAGGAGTTTGATGTACCCACCACGGAGCACTCATATGATGATGTTTGGTTTGCTGCTGACGCCGTACGCGGGAATGTGGGCCAGGATTTCGAGTTGGCTCAGGTGAAGCGGCTGTACGATATGGACCTCGACACGCTGAAGGTCCTTCTCAAAAGCTTCAGGAAGTTTGATACGGACAACTCGGGGACCCTGTCGAGGGCCGAGTTTGACAAGGCGTTTCAGCTTTCAGAGCACAGGTGCCCTGCATCGTTCGATCACCTCTTTTCGTTCTTCGACACAGACGGCAGCGGCGCCATCTCGTACCGCGAGTTCATCCAAGGGCTCGCCTTGCTTTCCGGGCGGTGCTCCGTGCAGAGCCAGGCGAAGCTGGCCTTCCTCATCTTTGATGTCGAAGGCACCGGGCAGGTCCAGATCGACGCCCTCCAGAAGGCCCTGGACAATGCTGTGGCGCACGCCGGGGATGCGTCCCCTGGTAAGCGGATCTTCGAGATGTGCGGGAGAGAGGGCGGGGCCGTCGGTTTTGAGGAGTTCTGCGCGCTGGTGGAGCGGGAGCCGGGGATCCTCGAGTCCGCGATTTCCCTGTCCAGGCAGCGGGTGGGTACAGTCGAAGAGGCAGCCCTGCAGGCCAGCGATGAGAAGGACAAGAGGGGCAGAGCCAGGATCAGCGATTAGCGGAGCTCTTCCATATCCATACACAGCGCTTCGCGTTGCCGCGATCGGACGGGATCTTGTGTCGAATGCGTTGGGTGCCTAAGTGGTTCTCGGGCGTCCTCTTGGTACGCATTGTCAGTTTGGTTTATCTGGTATGGCGCACTTCTGGTATGCTTCGTCCGCGTGGTATGTCTCGTGCGTCTGGTCTGGCTGGTCTGCTTGGCGTGTCTGGTGTGGTCCGGATCCTGTGATCCGTCTGCTACCCGTCCTCGTTTTTATCCTCCTCATCCTCCCTCTCTGCTCAACCGTGCATCCCCTCTTGGACGTGCTGGGTCCGCCCGGGGTGCCTCCCCCGGGTGTGTCTAGTTTGCCTGGTCCGGCTGGTTTTAGTCAGCCTGCCTCATCGCCCTCTCCGTGGGGGGTTCTCGGTGGTCCTCTGTCGGCAACGCGGGTCCATCACAGGATGCGATTCGGAGGAGGAGGAGCAGGAGCAGGAGCAGGAGCAGGGGAGGGGAGGGAGCTTTCCCTCGCGTGCCGAAATCCCTCTGCCCAGTCTGGAAGGAGGGGCCCCTCGGCTGCGCCCGCCACGCTGCCACGGGTGCGAGCCCCGAGGGCGTCCGGCGCTTGCGTTCACCCCCCCCCCCTCGCTGGAGGCCTCGCCCACGGGGCCCTGGCGTGACAAGAGACCTCTCTCTCCATTGAGCACAGTGCTGTCCCGGACCCATCTGACACAACGAGCTCGTGACCCAACTCAGGCCCCCAATGTTTAGGGATGTCCCGAAGCACAGCGGTGGTCTCGTCGGACAAAGTTGCACAGAAAGGCCCCCTATCCCTGATGTTTTGGGCCCTCCTAACCTAGGTCCCCTCCCGCCCCCTCCCAAAGGGTTAGGGGTATTTCTATGGCTTATCAGTTTTTGTGCACTGGCGGCAATCAGCATGACTGGGGAGGGGGCGGGTGGCGGGAGGGGGCCGCTCACGTCACGATTCGCGCTGACGCCGTCTGGGAATGCGCAAGAGTGGCCGATTCCCAGACAGCGATGGCGCGAATCGTGACGTGACCAG